TTAGCCAAAAAAGGCGGTCGAAACTCGACCGCTGTACTCATATCACTGTACTGTACTCATATCACAACATTATAGAGGTTCGGACATGTATGGGCTGGGCCCCAGACCGACAAAATGTGATCAGTCACAAGGGAGCCTTCGCCAAATGCAATTTCAATAAAAAAACATAAGGTGGGACCAAGTAAACCAGGTCTTAAATGATATAAACTGGGAAGATAGTCAAAGCAACACAGATCTAAACCTATGTCTAGAACAAATTAACTATGGCACTCGAGGTATGCTCAAGGCATATTCCTTTAAGGAAGAGAAGATGTAAATTAGAAAGAGAAAGGCACTCCCTATACAGGTGAAGGCAAAGAATAACAGAGTGGCTAAAAGAGGCCAATATATCTGTTATACGTAGGGAGACACTGGTCAGAGAAATAGCAAACATCGAACTAAAGGTAAAAGATTCTTACAGGAGTCAAGAAATGCCAGAAGACCTAAAAGCCATAAATGAAATTGAAAGAAACCCGAAATATTTCTTTTCTTATGCCAAATTAAAATTGAGAACAACATCCAGTATTTGGCCCCTACTTAAATGAGATGGGTCGAACACAGATGGCAGCAAGGAAATGAGTGAGCTACTCAAGTCCCAGTATGACTTGGTTTTTAGTGAGCTACTAACCAGACTGTGAGTCAAAGACCTAAATGAATTTTTTATGAGAGAGAGAGAGAATTTGGCAGACTCGATCCTATCTGATATTACCGTGATGCCAAATGACTTCAAAAAGGTGATTAATGACATGCCCATGCACTCTGCCCCAAGCCCAGACTCGTGGAACTCTGTGTTCAAGAACTGCAAGAAGCCCCTATCATATGCTTTTAACATCCTATGGAGAGGGAGCATGGACACAGGGGTCATTCCACAGCTGTTAAAAACAGACAGACAGACCCACTCCACAAAGGGGGCAGTAAAGCAGTAGCATATAAAAATCTTTGAAAGGGTTCTGAGAAGCAAGATTGCCACTCATCTAGATACCCATCAGTTACACAACCCAGGGCAACATGGGTTTAGAGCAGGTTGCTCCTCTCTGTCCCAACTACTGGACTACTATGACAAGGTCCTGGATGCTCTTGAAGACAAACAAAATGAAGATGTAGTATACACAGACTTTGCAAAAGCCTTTTGACAAGTGTGACCATGGTGTAACAACACAAAAAATGGATGATAAAGGAATAACAGGATAAGTTGGTAAGTGGATCTATAATTTCCTAACAAATAGAACACAAAGAGTAGTAGTAAACAGAGTAAAGTCTGAGGCGGCTGTGATGAAAAGCTCTATTCCACAAGGCACAGTACTTGCTCCCATCCTGTTCCTCATCCTCATATCTGACAAACAGGGATGTAAACCAAATGTGAAATGTAATGCAGTTAAAGGACATAGTAGTATGTCTCTTTAGAGCACAATAAGTAAAATAAACTATTTATTTCTTTGCTAAGGTTACAGTGTGTGTTTACATATCACAACATGATTGGAGAAAAGAAAGCCACTATCATGCTGAGGCATTTCGGACAGACTTAACCTAATACTTATAGACTACTTGAGTCTAGACAGAAAATTGACATCTGGGTGCTTGTTAGGCTCTTGCGTGATTTGTTCTAGGAAAGGCAGTACCCAGGGGATTTTTGTCACATACTTCATACCGTGTATACATACTGTGGAACCTCGGCACTTGAACTTAATTGGTTCCAGAAGGCTGTTCGAGTGCCAATCTCTTCGAGTATGGAACAGATTTTTCCCAACCAATTTTCTTTTTGGTTGGCTGTTATCACTAATTCTCTTAGGCCACCTGGTGACTTGTTTATACAAATAATAAAAAACACCAAAAAGTGAAGAAACACTAAATAGTTGACAGCAAAGTTCTGGCAGGTTATGTTTGTTTGGTCGACTACCGGGCGATTTGTTTACCGAAAAAAGCATTCGAATACCAAATTGTTCTAGTACGGAGCTGTTTGAGTACCAAGGTTCCACTGTATTTATTTTTTTATCTTGCACAGTTTTACAGGCTAAGAGCTGTTATCCTACCTCAGCTCATTTCAAAACCCAGCCCAATCCATAAAATCAGAATCAAATGAAAATCAAAATTTCATTTCTTTGCTAACCAGGTACCAGATCAACCAGGCTGTGATGGATATGTGGGGCAGCGGACCTCCAGCAACAACAGCCTGGTTGATCAGGCAAGCACCAGACAAGCCAAGCCCATGGCTGGGCTCTGAGAGTAGTCAAACTCGAAACTCTTCAAAGGTACAACACTGTCTTCCTTTGCAGATAACACCCGAATTTGCATGAGTGTCCTCTATTGAAGACACTGCAAAGCTCCAGGCGGACATCAACCAAATATTTAAATGGGCTGCAGAAAACAACATGAAGTTCAATGATGAGAAATTTCAATTACTCCAATATGGAAAACGTGAGGAAATTAAAACTATATCAGAGTATAAAACAAATTCCCACCACACAGTAGAGCAAAAAACTAATTTAAAAGACCAGGGAGTGATCATGTCAGAGGATCTCACCTCACCATAACACTGTATCAATCACATCTGCTAGAAAAATGACAGGATGGATAATGATAGCCTTCAAAACTAGGGATGCCAAGCCTGTGATGACACTCTTAAGGTCACTTGTTCTATCTAGGCTGGAATATTACTGCACACTAACAGCACCTTTCAAGGCAGGTGAAATTGCTGACCTAGAAAGTGTACAGAGACCATGGCGCACATAACTGCGATGAAACCTCAATTACTGGGAACTCTTGAAGTTCCTCAACCTGTACTCCCTAGAATGCAGGTGGGAGAGATACATGGTTATATACACTTGGAAAATCCTAGAGGGATTAGTACCAAACTTGCACACGAAAATCACTTCCTGTGAAAGCAAAAGACTCGGCAGATGGTGCAACATCCCCCCAGTGAAAAGCAGGGGTGCCACTAGCACGATAAGAGACAACAGAATAAGTGTCAGGGGCCCAAGGCTGTTTAACTGCCTCCCAGCATACATAAGGGGGATTACCAATAGACCCCTGGCTGTCTTCAAGAAGGCACTGGACTGGCACCTTAAGTCAGTACCTGACCAGCTGGGCTGTGGTTCGTACGTTGGGTTGTGTGCGGCCAACAGTAACAGCCTAGTTGATCAGGCCCTGATCCACCATGAGGCCTGGTCACAGACCGGGCTGCGGGGGTGTTGACCCTCGAAACCCTCTCCAGGTATACCCCAGGTATACAGTAAAGTAACTTGTGTATATATAACAGTGTTGTAGTGTGTGTGTAGCATGATTGGAAATACTTGGTGGTTTAACTAAGAAGATGAAACATCAACCCTTTCGTTGTCCAGACCCCAATCTGAAACTTGTTCACACTTCAAGAATTGAAAAAAAAAAAAAAATTTCTTATGAAATGGTAAAGAATCTTTTTTTTTTTTTTGATGTTAATAAAACAAAAATATGAAATTTGATAAAAAATTTGCAAAATTAATCTTTTTGCAAATGTTGCTATATCAGCAATATTTATGCATTGGTGATTTTTTACTCACTTTGAGTCCTACTTGAGGTCAATTACATTCTTCCAGTTGGCCAAATTCTTAGCTGTTTTGCTAGTATGTCTTCCATTTTTTGATTGAGTACAAGAAATCACCCAATCAACTATTTCAGCTACCAAATAAATTGATCAGAAATTGGTAATTTGGCCATTGTCACTCAAATTTCAAAAATATTCCAATTTTAAAACAGGGTCCAGAATAAACAGTGCAGGCATTCTGGCACTAAAATAACATTTCCTCTGTTCATTAGTTATGTTTCCAGGCTTTATACATGAATTCCATTTGTATTTTTTATTCACAAAAAATAGAAGATTTACTGTTATGCAATATTGTAATAATTATATAAATAATATCAGCACATTTGTGAACACATTAGACCCACCAGTTGACATGTATTGGACACTTGACATGATTTGTTGACCCTTGAACATTGGCAAAAATCGATCATTTCTGCTAATTTGAGCTCAATTTCTAGGTATTTTCAGTCCTACAACCAATCAAAATCATCTCTATTTCTGTAATATATCTTCCATTCTATCAAATTAGACCGAGAATACAACCATAAAAACCATACAAAAATACACCACAAAGTTGCTGTTTGAAACCGAAAACACGGTCACAATTTTTTCTCATGCACTGCGTGTTGCAGGATTCTTTTTATATGATGCATACTTACTACATTGACCCATTCTCTCAAATCTAGGCCCCAGTTTACCACTCACAGCTTATCTGAGTAAGCTGAGCTCATCACGTAATACTACGGAAGAGCCTGTGAACTCTAATGCATAGTACTATGGCACAATCAGCTAAAGAGTTAAATCAGATGGAGAGGAAGATTGGATATGTGGTGTATGATCATTATGCAGTACATAGAATGTATCAGTGGAAGAATCCAAGGAAATGTTCCAATACTTTGGTTCATATAAAAGATGTTGTATATGTGATTTTTTTTTTTTGTCAGGAAATTTACTTTTTTTAATAGGATGGCCAAATAAGGAATCCCCATACATAAAATGCCTCTAGGTATAAAGGCGTTTGGAGAGCACCTGGACACATTCATGTTAGTTTATTGCTTAAATGAAATTGTTGCTCCTTCCTTGCACTGTGAAAGAAAGCATTAAGTCTAGCAAATAAAGTGAAGGCACAAGAGGGAAGAAACAGAAGGCAGAAAGGCATATACCAGGTATGAATTTGAGAAACAGTAATTAAGAAGGCAGTTTGGATTAGTAGAAAATATAGGATACCACCAGCCGATGTAGTACAAAAATCATGCATGGTAAGGCTAGTCTTTTTTTTTTTTTTTTTTTTTTTTCCTAGCTAGTGCTTCTGTGGGTAACAGACCAGGACATATGCCAGTTCATAATAGATAATCTGTATATATTTTTTCTTTTTGCTTGTATTTCGTCCTTTCTTTTTCAGCCACATCCTAAAGGAGCACGAATTGATGTTGCACTCAATGAGTGTTATGATGGCTCTTATGCAGGAAATCCACAAGACTTGGTAGCTATGCCAGCTGGATTTGCCTTTTCCCGCAGTGGACCCACGCGGCGAACACCAACCACTTCAGTATTAGTCTGCAGACCAAAAAGACCGAAACCTTCATTATCAGAATTTCTAGAACAAGATGATGATTTTGATTTACCACGGTCATATATATTAGGCCATAATAGGTAAGTGTTTCAATAAATAAAATAAATTTTTTAAAAAGTTTACACCGTAATCTTGTTGTGTATTTCTGTTTTACTCTTATGTTGAAAGTACCATTTTCTTTCCAGCAAAGAAGAGACCTTTAGAAATGAAATCCTGAAGGCAGCATGTGTGCACTTGATTTTCATTATTCCTTCGATGAGGATTGAAGTCATCAAGCTGTTTGTGTATGGTCAGTTTTATTTTTCATATTCCCTATGAACTGCCATTCCCATATATATCATTTGATGACATCAGCTCTTTTAGTAGTGCACATTCCATTGCTGTATCGCCTCATCACCTTCAAATAATTTCTTTTTCGCTTTCATCCTGTGTTCTTTTACCCTCCGACTATTATCTTTCCTGTTCTTGTGTTACGTCTTTTCAATTCGATTCAATTTCACATATTCCATGGCAGTTTAACACACACATCTTAAAAAAAAAAAAAAAAAAAAAAAAGCCCCTTAAATGTAATGATGGCAGAAGAAATGAATGGGTTACAACTAAGTATTGTAAATCTGTTGTAAAGATCATTGATACCTAGATAAAATATTACTCAACCTTGTGTCAGATTAACAGTCTGTGGTATGGTAGAAAGATGCTTGGTGCAGAGGACTTCATTATAGACAGCAATTATCTAACACAGTAGGCTTTATTAATTCAAGGAAGGAGTAAAGAGACAGGACATATAGAGGTGAAGAAGTGAGGACAGGTGTCATCTGTGGCTGGTATTTCAGTGGATATCAGCATCACCTGTAGTATGTGAGTGGTTATTACTTCACCTGTTGGATTTGTCCTTGCATGTTGACTTTAGACAACGGTTTGGCAATGCTAATTGCACCTCGATTCTGTTGTGTTGGAGGTCTGTATGACTTTATTGGGAACATGTCTTCCAGGTTTTTGGCTGTCTTCATATAAAAGGCTTTGTTCAGATTGTGTGGTTTTAAATGTACAATTGACCCTCCCGTTTCGTTGATCTCTGTTATCGCCGATTTTTTATGTACAATTGACCCTCCCTTTTCGTTGATCTCTGTTATCGCCGATTTCAGTTTTCACCGACTTTTTTTTGTCAAAATATTTCCTCCGTTTTCGTCAATTTCCTCCATTTTCATCAGTGGTACAGAACCTGTCCAGTGCCCAGCGCACACACAAAGCCGCCTCCCACACACGTTCTCAGGCAGTGTTGTGTCGTTTCTCGGTGAGTGAACATATCCTGCAGGGTCATACGAAACATTTTGTAATCCATTTTTTTGACACTTGTTGATTGTGTGTGAAGGCTAAATAAGCCACCATGAGCCCAAAAAAAGCTCCTAGTGCCAGTCCTTTGGTAAAGAAAGTGAGAAACACCGTAGAATTGAAGGAAAAGATTGTAGAAAAATACAAAAGTGGTGGTGGTAGAGGGTGGTAGTGATGGTGGTAGAAGGTGGTTGTGATGGTGGTAGAGGGTGTTAGTGGTTGTGATGGTGGTGGAGGGTGGTAGTGGTTGGGGATGGTGGGTAGTGGGGGTGGTAGTGTGGTGGTGAGGTGGTAGAAGGGGTAGTAGTGGTTGTGATGGTGGTAGAGGGGGGGTAGTGGTTGTGATGGTGGTGGGAGGGTGGTAGTGGTTTTAATGGTGGAAAGAGGGTGGTAGTGGTTGTGATGGTGGTAGGGGGTGGGTAGTGGTTTTAATGGTGGTAGAGGTGGTAGTGGTTGTGATGGTGGTAGAGGGTGGTGGTGGTTGTGATGGTGGTAGTGGTTTGTGTAATGTGGAGTAGGGTGCAAACATTTGTGGAGGAACATCACCCTGAGAAGGTTGTTGCAATCCGTGCTGGCAACTTTTACAATGACAATGCCATGTCCCATTTTAGGGAAATTTTAAAGAGACATCGGAAACAGGCTCTCTGGACCAACTTTTTGTACGACAGAGGTCCAGTGACTCAAGCTAGTCTTAGTGGCAGTAAAAGACAAAGAAGAGAAGTGACCCCAGATAAGGACTTGGTACCTAGAGTCCTTATGGAGGGGGATTCCCTTCTAAAGAATACCCTATCTTCCCTCTCCCCTTCTCCCTGTGATCCATACCCAAGAGTCTTCAATAAAGGTAAGTGTCATGTTGAATGTTCATTCTTTTCTGCATGCAAATCTATGCTTAACCTAAAAAAAAAAAATTTTTTTGTTAATACTTTTGGGTGCTTGGAATGGATTAATTGGATTTACATTATTTCTTTAGGAGAAAATGGTTTCAGTTTTTGCCAATCTCTCTGGAATGGATTAATGACGAAAACCGAGGGTCCACTATGTATTTATGTTTGAGGATTCTGGTGTGTAGGCTTCGTGATATTTCATCAATGTTATATCTGTTATACACTCCTCATGGGATCTTGTACATGCTTCTGAGCTGTGATCTGGTCATTTCATGTATGGGCTAAGATGCTGTGTTTTAGAGTCAGGGTAATGTCAGCCATACTTCCAGTAGGTAAAGTGATATTTTAGCTGTTGTTGGTATTTTCCTGAGGGTTCTTGGCTATCTGCTGTGCTTTGTCTGCAATCTAGGATGAAGTAATTGGAAGATTTTAAGTTTGCTGGCACTGGAGTTCATTCAACTATAGGCTGCAAATTTCGTAGAACAGTGATTGCCAATGTAGGGTTTACTTCCCTCAAGGGGGCAATTTTGAATGTTTTGGGGTGCAGTTTGAAAGTGTTATACAGTGGACCCCTAGTTATCAGCTGTAATCCGTTCCAGAAGCTTGGCCTAAAATCAAAATGGCCAAAAACCGAAATAATGTTTCCTGTAAGAATTAATGTAAATACAATTAATCCGTTCCAGACAAAAATATTCACAAAAAAATAATTACAGTGGACCCCCGCATAACGCTATTAATCCGTTCCTGAGAGCTCAATGTTATGCGAAATTATCGTTATGCGAATTAATTTTCCCCATAAGAAATAATGGAAATCAAATTAATCCGTGCAAGATACCCAAAAGTATGAAAAAAAAAATTTTTACCACATGAAATATTAATTTTAATGTGGCAGATGTTGCAAGTATATGGAATAGGTGGTAAGTTACTAAATGCTGTTAAGAGTTTTTATGAGGATAGTGAGGCTCAGGTTAGGGTGTGTAGAAGAGAGGGAAAATACTTCCCGGTAAAAGTAGGTCTTAGACAGGGATGTGTAATGTCACCATGGTTGTTTAATATATTTATAGATAGGGTTGTAAAAGAAGTAAATGCTAGGGTGTTCGGGAGAGGGGTGGGATTAAATTATGGGGAATCAAATTCAAAATGGGAATTGACACAGTTACTTTTTGCTGATGATACTGTGCTTATGGGAGATTCTAAAGAAAAATTGCAAAGGTTAGTGGATGAGTTTGAGAATGTGTGTAAATGTAGAAAGTTGAAAGTGAACATAGAAAAGAGTAAGGTGATGAGGGTATCAAATGATTTAGATAAAGAAAAATTGGATATCAAATTGGGGAGGAGGAGTATGGAAGAAGTGAATGTTTTCAGATACTTGGGAGTTGACGTGTCGGCGGATGGATTTATGAAGGATGAGGTTAATCATAGAATTGATGAGGGAAAAAAGGTGAGTGGTGCGGTGAGGTATATGTGGAGTCAAAAAACGTTACCTATGGAGGCAAAGAAGGGAATGTATGAAAGTATAGTAGTACCAACACACTTACATGGATGTGAAGCTTGGGTGGTAAATTCAGCAGCGAGGAGACGGTTGGAGGCAGTGGAGATGTCCTGTCTAAGGGCAATGTGTGGTGTAAATATTATGCAGAAAATTCGGAGTGTGGAAATTAGGAGAAGGTGTGGAGTTAATAAAAGCATTAGTCAAAAGGCAGAAGAGGGGTTGTTGAGGTGGTTTGGTCATTTAGAGAGAATGGATCAAAGTAGAATGACATGGAAAGCATATAAATCTATAGGGGAAGGAAGGAGGGGTAGGGGTTGTCCTCGAAAGGGTTGGAAAGAGGGGGTAAAGGAGGTTTTGTGGGCGAGGGGCTTGGACTTCCAGCAAGCGTGCATGAGCGTGTTAGATAGGAGTGAATGGAGATGAATGGTACTTGGGACCTGACGATCTGTTGGAGTGTGAGCAGGGTAAATATTTAGTGAAGGGATTCAGGGAAACCGGTTATTTTCATATAGTCGGACTTGAGTCCTGGAAATGGGAAGTACAATGCCTGCACTTTAAAGGAGGGGTTTGGGATATTGGCAGTTTGGAGGGATATGTTGTGTATCTTTATACGTATATGCTTCTAAACTGTTGTATTCTGAGCACCTCTGCAAAAACAGTGATAATGTGTGAGTGTGGTGGAAGTGTTGAATGATGATGAAAGTATTTTCTTTTTGGGGATTTTCTTTCTTTTTTGGGTCACCCTGCCTCGGTGGGAGACGGCCGACTTGTTGGAAAAAAAAAAAACACACACAAACTTAAGAAAACATGCAGTTATATGACACTTACCTTTATTGAAGATGTGGTGATGATTGATGGGATGGGAGGAGGGGAGACTGGATGGTTTTAGTGTTTAGAAGGGGAATCCCCTTCCATTAGGACTTGAGGTGTCAAGTCCTTTTCCGGGTTTGCTTCCCTTCTTCTTTTAATGCCACTAGGACCAGCTTCAGAGTCACTGACTGGACTTCTGTCGCACAACATATCTGTCCATAGTGGCCTGTACCTCTCGTTCCTTTATGACTTTCCTAAAGTGTTTCACAAGAGTGTCAGTGTAATAGTCACCAGCACGGCTTGCAATAGCTGTCTGAGGGTGATTTTCATCCATGAAGGTTTGCACTTCAAGCCACTTTGCACAGATTTCCTTAATCTTTGAAGTAGGCAACTTCTTCAATTTCTCTCTCCCCTCCTCCGAAGCAATTTCCTCAGGTGTGGCCTCTTGCTGTTGAAGTTGATCTAGCAGCTCATCAGTGGTTAGTTCTTCATTGTCCTCCTCCACCAACTCTTCCACATCCTCCCCACTAACCTCCAACCCCAAGGACTTCCCCAATGCCAC